TTACTTTCCACTTCAGCATGAGCACTGTAAGATTAGCAAGACCACAGTCTCTGAGTGCTGTAAAAATGCCACAGGAAGCTCCTCCACTTTGGCTTTGGCTACAAGCTCGGGGTTTTGCATTCACTCACAGCCCAGTTTCAAACTTCATGACAAGGTTTGGAGCCAAGGCCCCACAGTCCAAAAGATGACAAAAGAAGGCTTCATTTGAACAAGTGTCTAGGAAACAACAGATATTTAACTGACAGTTTTATGCTAGACAGCATGATAATTTTAAGACAGACTGGAAAGTATGAGACAGTTTCTTTTCATCACAATAGCTACAATTTTGCAATTGAGAGTTCAGAACTGAAAGACATGAAAAGATCAGAATAGCTGTGTTTTTAAGAAGTCAAAGTATTACATTTTTTGGTATTTGCTAGGTAGGTTAACTGTCAGTCATATGCCTGGCTTGCATAGATTGTGCACAGCTTCACTCGCTACATACACGTAAATATACATTATTTATTGATGGTGTTCTATGTCTCTCTCTGCTTTGTCTGACAGACATTTCCTACTTGCTTTTGTGTCGTACTTATCTACATTCTGCAGGAGAAACAATTAACCCAAGTGATTTTACAGCAGCTCTTTGCTTTATTTTATCTTAGTGGAATTTAATTCAGATAGATTCATTTGTGCTGTGTCTAAGTTGAAGAAAAAAAAAAAAAAAGTGAAAGAATCTTGCCTTTAATCTGCTTTTACAGTGAAAACTCTGGGCTCTTGGCATTTTTTATTTTTTATTTTTTTTTTCTGTGCTGAAACTCCGCATGGTTACACAACAATTAAAAGGGAGATTAAGAAGCAAGACAATAAAGAAGTATGTTTATAGAACTGGCCTGCTGCATCTCCCGTGTGGAGTACGGTAAGACTGCAGAACTTAAAACTAACAAAAATATATGTCATGAACTGATACATTTAAGGCAAGTAAAATACTCGCATAGGAAAATGTAGCATGAAGAGGATCAGAAAGTGGCGATGTGTTGGTCTTAGAGTTAGTACACTGCATAGCAAGTTTATATGGATAGTCTCATGTGGATCTTCTCAAGGAGCCAAATCTGTGCTCCTGAGAATCCAGCTTTGTCCTCAGCAGGACAAAGTTCAGTGAACTGCTATAATCTGTGTAAGAAAATAAGCTTGGCTGGGAAATAACTTGGAAGGCTTCCTTTGTGAAAAAGTACAGAGATGAAAGACTACTGTATTTTTGCAGAAGCGTTTTAAATCCTTCAAAAGAATGGGCACAGCAAGGGGCAGAGAAGACAGACACTATTAACTGGAAGTCAGCTATACAGTGGAAGAATAACGTCAAAGATTAGTACAAATAAAGAAGTCAACAACTACTAAATTTCAACAGATCGTGACAGCAGGAATACTGAGTTTTGGGGGGAAATAAAGTAAATGCAGACTTCAGTCCAACTACTCCTCCCCACTCCAAGGCAACAGAGGTCTCTTAGGACTGCATCATGGCTACATTATTTACTTAGCGGGACTAAACCATACACAAGGCAAAACAAGATTCAGAGTATAGCTGAATTTTATGTCCCCTTGTGCCCCAAGAGGATGGTCACTAGAGAAGAATTGGATCGTGCAGCATGAGCAACTGCTTCTGTTGCAAAATCCAAAGCAGGCATTTGGTTCTGCTATCTACCTGTTTTGCAGCTGTTCCTCCATGTTTGTCTGGAGGATAACATATTTCGATCACAAGGGTAGCTCTTCTAAGATATGATTTTTCCCAAATTCTGAAATTAAAATCTGCAGTCTTCCTACCTTCATTATCATCCTTTTTTTAGAATTCAAGCTTTTTTTTAAAAAAAAAATCTTTTGGTACCACATGCAGTAGTCTTTGTTCTGCACATTTGTTTCACTCGCTTTTCAAATTTTTGATGAACAGTAATTGCATATTTTGTCTCCTAAAACCTTAAATTTAGAAATTTTAATGAATAACTAAAACATCGCTAAAGAGCACAGACATGACTCTGCCTACTTCTGCTTTCCCATTTTCCAGGTCACCCTCAAATAAGGATAGGACCAAGGCCTCAAAGAACAGAACTGATATTTTTATCTTCTTCTCCTTTTTCAAGCTCATAAAATCTTTAAATACTGCACTAGACATAAGGAATATACTGAAGGAAAAAAAAAAAAATAAAAACAAAAAACAAACACATGAAGAAAAGCATTTGATAAAACATGTTTTAGAGAAATTTTGCGTGTTTTGATTCAGAGATAAAAGGGAGGGATTATTTCCTGAGTAGCACCAAACATTCTAGATAGGAATGTCCACTTGGCATTCTGGAGGCCAAGATACCTCTGCTGTCCTTGAATGAAGTTTCGTTTCTCAGAACACTGAGGAAGAAAGGGGTGAAGTTGATTTGCTGTCCTGGCTCATCATTCCCATTGGGACCAAACCACATGAAAAAGATGGAAGAACGCAACAGCTGTTGCAACACTCTGCTGCAATTTTCATGAGTTTGACAGTAGGCCAAGAAACTATGAAAAGACTTGGAATACCTGAAACAGGTTGTACATTGTTGATAATTACATTTGCAATGGCAATGATGCCTACACCAATACAATTTAGAGAAGAAATACCAGTGTGAATAATCTTATGAAGGAATTTTTGAAATAATAGCTTTAGAGGAAAGATTAATCAGCTGTATAAAAATTAAATTTTAACGAGGGAAATTGAAAAGCCTGAACATACCAAGCAGTAAGTAAATATCGCTGCTGAGGATTTTAACATTAAGTACTGCCTGACTTAGCAAAGGCTGTGTCATTGCAAATGTGAAAATGATGAGATAAAACAGTTAAGCATCAAGCGAAAAACATAAAATGAAAAATAATGAAATGTGTATCACCATTCTTTTACACTGATGACAGAAAGAAGATTATATAAGCATTAAGAGAATGCTACCCATAGCTGCTCCATCTTCATGGAAGCTGCTAGAGGGTTCACAGTAGAGAAGTAGTAGTTCAAAGAATAAAAAAAGAATATGCTAAGTTTAATAGCTAAAATGGTACATGGGAATGTACAATTTTATGGTACATTAGGACATTGGATACATTGGTACATGGGAATTTGTGTAGTTGTGTTCAATCATAAAGTGATGAGTGATGAGAATGGATGATTAAGGTCAACTGGAGAAGGGAATAGGTGTAACAACTAACTAAGATTCATTAAAACTTGACCAATTTATTTCTCATCTCAACAACAGTATTTCTATAAAGTTGTAGCCAAATTTAAAATAGTAGTGCTACAACTCATGGCTAATAAGACATTTTCTAAAATGAACGAAATAAACATTTTCCTTTGAACTTGTAAATAGCCTGGAACAGAAGATGAAATGGAAACTTGACAGAGAAAAACTACTAATGAGTAATCATCAGTGATCATTTTATCATGAACAATCAACCCAACCCAGTTACCCATGGCTGCTGGATGCGAGTAGCACATGAAGAGTTGGGAAGAGCAGCATGAAACATGTTATGCCTACACTTAAGAACTGCCAGGGCATATCGCATGGTAATGGCAAGTCATGTCACGGGACAGAGAAAAGGAGGATCTTTTCCTTCATTGTGGTGCCACAAACTGACTCCTGTTTGCCAGAAACTCCTACTGCTTTTCAGCACTTTCCCCCCATTGACTATCCTCTCTCCTCATTTTGACAGAGCTTTCAGTTTCCTTGCACCTGTTCCATTATTTGTAGCCAAATAACATCACAGTGTTCCATCTCCAAGTACATCAGGGAAATCACACAGCAATAGCAAACCAACCTGAACAAGGTACAACTAGGTACAACACTGCATTGCACAACAGACTTGGGGTTCTTCACATATAAAGGTTATTTCTGAAGCTGCTGGAGTGACCGAAGGACCACAGCAGCCAAATAGTTGAGTGACAGTGGCTGAGCTTTGAAAGCATAAAATCATAGAATAGAATCACAGAATCCTTAGAGTTGGAAGGGACCTCTGAAGGTCATCTAGTCTAACTCCCCCACAGTGAACAGGGACACTACAGCTGGATCAGGTTGCCGAGGGCCTGATCCAGCCTGGCCTTGAGAGTCTCCAGGGACAGGGCAACAACTACAATTCTGGTCAATTTGTTCCAGTGCCTCACCATTCTCACCTTATATCTAACCTAAATCAACCCTCTTTGAACTTGAAGCCGAAGTGTACTGGGAAGGCAACGAGGAAGCATGTGAACATGCTATTAAATGACATACATGTTTCAGTCACTTGTTCTACAGTCTTTATCACAGACATTCCATCACCCATTTCCTCCAGAAGCTATGCATAAATAGTTCAACGCACATATTGCAAATAATAAGCAACTGAAGAAAGAAGGAAAATGCATTAAAAGCATTTTTGTATTTGCTGTGAAATGGGGCTGTATGGCACTAGAAACAGGGTGTCCAAGCAGTTGGACTTTAGAAGTTTTCTCTTATTCTTTATATATACATACCTCATACAACAAACTGTCTGAAGGTGGAAACTAAACTCAGGAAGAACAGCTTATAGGGACTATTTTTTGTCCCTCAGCAACAGATTCAACTAAACACTCCCCTTTTAAGAATTCATTGTATAAAGTATTTGCATTGCAAGATTAAATAGATAGTGCATCACATTCACAACTGCAACTCTGATTTTTTTGTTGTTGTTTTGTTTGCTTTGGCAAAACCTGCCATACATATTTTTCAGTGCACAATGGAACAAACTCAAATATAATCCAGATACCCTAAAGCTTTACCTATTTTGCAGGTAACTTATGGAGGCATAACACCAAGCAACAAATAAATCAGCACATCCTACAGTATTTTTAAATAACTGGCATATTTCTGTGAAATTGATTGCACGCTTTTTTCTTCCCACTTAGACAACATAGGAGCAGTTCATGATAGTATAAGAAAATGTCCAACGTTCCTCTTAACACCAAATGTAAATAGCTAGAATTAATTACTCTTTATACTCACTTGATGTAATAGGGCACTTTGTTTGGCGAGATTGCCCTCTCCCAGGGGCCTTGGACAGAAGCTGTTAACCAACAAAGAAACAAATAAATAAATAACTGCATACACACATACATACATACAAACATACCTAGAAGAGAAACATGGGGGTCAAGTTCAAAGCAAACAGGAAAGACAACATTAATCTCTAGAATTACAATTTTACACTTGGCCACACTGATATTGGTCTGTTTGCTCAGTTGCCCATGAAGGCAGGAAGGATTAACCCGCTGTTCTGAAATTTCTGGGCTAATCTGAGTGAAATTGAACTCATTCAGCTGCAAAGATAAATACAAAAAACTCCTTGGCTACTAAAGTTCAAGAACAGATATAAAGCAGAGCAGGTGACCTATCTCTGTGGTGTGCTCTCCTATAGGCTTCCTTCTGCCAGTGTGCTTGGCTGAGTTTTCTCCAATTTCTTTTCTTGTATGATTAGCTCCTTACATCCATCTAAGAACAAAGTTAGACACTTGTTTACACTTCATGCTGAGTGAAGCTAAGCTGACATACCCTCTGAGCATTTTGTTTATTCTCCTGTTGACTTGTTCTAAGTGCAGAACAACTTCATTTTTATGTCTCCGCATGACTAACTGTGCTTTATTGACTTCCAATAACAGCAAGTAATGAAAAAAAGTAACAGTGTGGGCACAAGAAACAGAGAGGAAATAACATTACTCAGTATTGGCTATCACAGTGTTAAATGTCAACATCTTACAATATAATGAAAATATTCTGTAACAAAGTCATATATAAAATGAATTGTCGACAAAATAGTTTTAAATAATTAGATTTTGTTAGAGGCATCTGATAATTTATGCCACAGTCTGAATGCTAGGTTGCTTCTTTGTTTGTTTGTTTAATTAAGAGGTTTTTATCCATCAAGAACTGTAGGACCAGAGATTTTCTTTTCCAATATAGTGATTCCTTTACATGAAAAGTGATCTAGTTGGGGAAAAAAAAAATGGCTGTTCGCTTTCCCCAGTGTAATCCTTCTTTTTAGTGACCCCTGCTGTTCATGCAGGAAAAGAACCATCTCCTGCACTCAACTCAGGATCACCTCGTGCAATCTTTTCTTTCTCCTTCAAAGCAGACACTTCAACAACGACATTCCCAAGCTGCAGGTACTTTAAGAAAGTCAACAAATCTCTACACATCAGAAGAACCACTTTATATATTTGTACCAGAACTGTTAACCACATAGGAGTCAATCTGCAGAGTGAAATCCACTCTCCTCCCCAGCTGACAGACTGGAGTTGGAGGAAAGATGTGAGACTTTCTTATAAAAAAATAACTCCATTGGCAAGTTGTGATATTTTGATAAATGTGAATACATATGGATTCTGGAGGAGGACTGGAAGGAGGACCCTGGTGAGGTGAAGCAAGGCAGTGTGAAGTGAGCTGGATCCATTTCAGATGTGCTGGAAAGGAGAAGGTAGCAGGGTGCAGCTTGGGCAGTGGGACAGTGGCTTTTGTGTGCACTGTAGATGATGCTGAGAAGCTAGGACAAGGAAGGAATATGTCTGGAAGAAATCCAAATTTGGTGTTTGTGGTTCAGATTATTGGTGGCCTATGAAATGCGTGCTGCAGCATGTTAGTAGGTCCTGTGGTCACTGACTTTAACCCCCAACAAACCATCTACAGCTCAGCTGAACGCATTGCTTTCCCATTACTTGCATGGTTCTGCACTTTTTATGAAAGAAAGGAGAAATTAAATTTTGATGGCATGAACCGTGAAAATAGATAACTCTTGAAGTGCATCAGGAATGCGGAGTGAATTATAATGACAGCTCCCATGGAAAAAGAGTGCATTAATGCCATTGATGTGTCATAACCCACACATACAAAAGCACTGCACATTTTCCAATACCAATACACAAATGCACACATCAATTAGAGATAGTAAAACATTCCTTCTTGGGACAGACACTGACTTTTTTTTTCTAAGCTTGTACACTGTGCATTGTATTTCTTACATGACTCTCTCATAACAATGTGAATATCACCAGGCTACAGTTCTGCCACTCTAAGTTTTTTTTTTTTTAATTAAACACCTAAACAACAGATTGCCACATATATTTTTGGAAGGTGTGCTTTTTCTGTTGTTTCTGAATTAATCTGCGTAAGAGCTTAGCAGTCATAACTTATCACAAAACTTACATATGATAGTGTTCTGGATACTTTGAAAGAGGAACAAATACTTGCCTTCATGAGAACGAAGTGCTCTAAGGAATAATAAAATTCTGTGACGTTCTGCATAATTGGATTTCGTGTTCCTTCAAGAGATTGCTGTGAAGCTGTCTATAATACACTTTTGCTCTCCTGGATGATTCCAGCCTTGCCTAAATTTGAGTTGACAAAATATGCGGTACTTTTCACAGCTATGCTGAGAGAATAATCATTTCATTTTTGGCAGAAGCCCAGAAGCTGAGAGCAGCTGTTTCTTATCGCTGGTTACCAGTATGGATTTAGTACCCATTACAAAGCTAGCGCAGGTAATGGACATGTATCTGTAATTCCTGGTTACAAGCATTTTACTTGTCCAACTAAACACACTTGCTGGCAAACACTTTTCTCTATGACGCTGTAGTATCCGTGCACTGAAGAAGCAGACATTTTCCTCTCAGCCATGAGTAATTCAAAAGTGTTTTATTGTTCTAGCTTCCACAGTGTAGGAATCCATTATGATACACCCAGCTACTTTCAATGATGTCCACTGAAATTGAGTGCTATAACAAAATACAAGACATTTTAAGAGTGAATGTAAATTTCCCCATACTTTATTTTATTTTTATTCATCTTAATGGTTACCTAATTTGAGAGTTTTATTTTTCCTGTTGGTGTGCTCATTTCTAAGACTTGCTTCACCTGTTGTTGAGCATAAGTAAGCATGGTACTTGGTGGTAAGCCTACAACTTTGTTTGTTTGCAGAATGCATAATGAAACAGTAATGTGCTGGCTCTAGGAACCTCAGCCGTGTTTTAATCTGTGTGGGCATCTGAATGAAATATTAACTATATTAAAGAATAACACTAAAATATGTGTTTATATTGTAAAACTAGTCTACTTAATATTTCCCTTTAACACAACAAACATCACAAAAAACACATGTATGTTGATTAATAGTAAACTATCCCTCCTTCAGCTATTGAAAGGGTTAATTTAGTATATCCACTGTTACAAATTACTCACAGTAGACTTTACTTATGCAATGAGCCCACAGCTCTATTGACCATACAGTGGGACAACTTTATACTTTCAGTTTCAAGTACGAGAAAAATCTTTTGAGTCTTAGCCATCACTTGTGGAGCTTAAGCACTGGGAAACAATTTTAGGACAGAAGTCATGAAGTCATACTTCCTAGTACCATATACTATACCTACTTCTAACATATACCTATACTCCATGCAGTGTTACGTATAACTTATCAATTATTTTTTTCTTACAAATTTATTATATTAATTATATATGCATTTAATTTTCATGATATTTAAAGTGGAGCTCATCCATCTGTTCACAGCCAAGACCTGTGCTACCTGCTTGGTGACCACTCTAGCTGGAACACAAGGTACTTAATTACATTCATGTTTTATTAACACTAATAATTTGCTTCTTCAGCCTTGAGTAGAGCCTAGGTCTACCTTTGCAACTGCTATTTTTCTACCTGGGATGATCTTTATGCAAACACAGAGCTAAGAGCTTGTTTTATTTCTACACATAAAATGTGTTTTTGTACCCATTATTTCTACTGCAGCTAGTTATGGAATTGGCAACTTCAGATAAAGGCAGGCAGGAACAACAGAACAATAAGACAGTCTTTGGGTCTGCAGAGGTTTTGCCTTCCTAATAACCAGAAGTTCGTGTGTGTAAGGTACTTCTCTCCTTCAAAGAAGATGCATTGAATGCTATCCCAATTATTTTAAAATGAGACCATTATAAAAGATAAACTGTTGTGCTCTACAGACTTCGAAGAGCTTATGCTTCTCTTCTTGAGTGCATACACTAAATCAATCTTTCTCCTCCTTAATCAGTTCCTGATACACACTGGGGGATGTGTGCCCAATAGGTATCCCCATGTGACAATGGCATAAGGCAAGGGTTTGCATCATCTGTGAGCTCTTCGACGTCCTTTCCAACAAACATCAGCATACATCTGTTAAATATTATTTTATTCCAGATTTACAGTGAACTGATTTCTAAATTATGTGCATTTATTATTGTACCAAGGGAAATAAGGGAACAATCAGATTGTGTTGTGTAGCACTGAGACCTGCTGTTGCACTACATAGCTGAGAAACTGAACTCGGAACGCAGTGACTGCGCAATTTAGAAGTTACAAGGCAGAAACATCAGTCAAAACCTGCCTTTCATAAGAGCTACACAGCATGGGGTCTATTCTGCTCTAAGTTCCAGCTTGCCTTACTGCACACGTGGATGACTCCCAGGCATTTCAGTGACAGCTACTTCTCAGTTTGCACTCTGCAATTCTTAAATCCAAGCGAACACCCCTTACTTCCCTGCAAAGCTTGCAGTGCTGTTGCTGCAACACACATGCAGGCATATAAGGAATACATTATTTTCTGAACACATCTAATCGGTTTGAAGAAGGAATTATTAGTCATGAAAACATTCATCATGAAGTCAGAGACAGTATTAATTTGTTTTAAATGATTTATAGAAGAGGCTTTCCCTCCTGTATTCCCTGCTGGAATCCTTGTGGCCAACTTACTTCCTACCTGCAGCCTAGGGTCAACTTTGTATGATGCAAACTAAATACTGCATGCCTTACATCACGTACAGTATTTCCAGAAGCTTCCAAAGGCCACTTGTAATGCAAAATATAAAATCTAATTCTCTTTTTTCTTAAATGCCACACTACTGTAAAATGACAAAAATACAAGCATCTACTTGTTTAATAAGGAAATACGGCATGGAATAACATCAGAGCAATATAGTCTGCATTGATCCACATATCCCAAGTTACAGAAACTTTATGTCATTAACAGTGGCTGTTGCACTCAAAACCTT